GGGGGGGTGAGTGGAAAGCACCACCACCCTCAACGACCGGCGCTCTTAAAGGTACAGATTGGGGGGCGGCTCGTAGAGGGGACACTTTCCGCCGGAGGACAACAAAGCACCCCCCTTCCCCCAAGCTCCAGCTCCTGTCAATGGCTTTAAAGGGAGCTCGGCCCTCTTAAAGGGAAGTTCCCGTCAGGCCTTCATTGTGGCGGAGAGGGAGGAGAGGTGAAATTTTCGGAGGACTTAAAGGGGAGGAGGGCGAGCTGACAAGGAGAAAAATAAAAGGACTTGGAGGGGCTTTGAAATAATAATAATAATAATAGTACAGTAATAATAAAAAGGCTGTGGGTGAAGGAAGGCTCCAGCTCTAGAGTTAAAGGGGAGGCCATGCCTTGGCAGGAACTGTGTGGCGGACTTTAAATGGCGGACTCTTAAAGGAGAGGATTCGGGGGGAAAAAAGATGAGGCGCTCAGAGCTGGGTTCTTAAAGGCAAGGTCACACCCTGAAGCAGGGGATCCAGAGGAGGGAGAGCCTTTTCTTCTGCAACAACAAAGCCATCGGAGAGACTTGTGAGGAGGAAGTGATCCTGGGGGCCGCCGCCTTCGTCGCCCTTGTCCTCACCACGACCACCAGCACCACCATCATCCAAGGAGAGGAAGTGGCTGCCCTCTGAGCGGAAGCCATTTGCCATTGTTGGCAGAAGAAGTCACATCTGCAGTCTTAAAGGGGAGGCTGTGCAGAAAAAAAAAGAAAGAAAGAAAGAAAGAAGGAAGAAGCTCTTAGCCCTCTCTGGGTATGTATGTCTGAGGAGGCCTCATCCCTGCAAGCAGAAAAAGCCTTGACATTTTAAAAATACAGAAATACAAAAACAAAAAATTGGATTTCTTTCCTCAAAGAAAGAAAGAAAGCTGTACCTTCAAGCTTCAAAACGGGGCACTTAAAGCAGAAGCGTCCTTCAAGCAAAACGAGGCAAGCTTCACAAATCCTAGAGAATTTTTGTTTATAAAGACGTATTTCTTTTGTTTTGTTTTGGAACTGGCCTTTTTAAAAGGCTTTGTCAGCATCCATCATCTCTCCACACTGAGAGATGTAAAAAAA